TGTACTATGCTTCACTTCCAGTCCCTTGGAACGTAACAGGCCATCTAGGGCCAGAAGAAGCGGACTTGAAGATGCGGCACCCATGACACAACGACAAAAAAAAAACAGACAGCAGAAACACACTGACACAGCGAAAGAAACACAGAAAGCAAAAGCGAAAGTAGACGCAAAAGTACACGGCGCGGCTGCAATAAAATGCAAGGCTTCCTCTTTCATTACAGACAGAGGAGTTGCCCCACTTTCTTCGCGTATCCCACTTACCTGGGACTAACCCCGCTTTAATCGCGGATCCCCCTTACCTGGGGACTGACCCCGCTTTGATCGCGGATCCCACTTACCTGGGACTAACCGGTGCACCACCCCTGACTACTGAGAGTTCTGATTTTCCCGGGTTTTCGGCACCACTTGTCGCGACCCCTTGCCCGCAAGGAAGACGCAACTCCGAAATCTTCTCTCAGTAGTTTTATTCAGGTCCTTGATATTTATTATTCTTTCTTCTTCTCTCCTTCTCGGATGCCCTCCCAGCCTTAATAAAGCATCCCAAGCCCCAATGCAAAGCTGCCGCGTGGAACTTTCTCACAGGGTGGTGAAAAATCATGTGCCAACTCTCTCAGATAAGGAGTTGTTTGTCACATACCACAGCGGAGCCAGCGCCATCTCGTAATGGCGACCATAGTCTGCAGAAACGGCAGAAGCGGCTCACCACAGCGCATGCCTATAACAACATTGGTGTAGGAGGCTGAGGCAGAGGATTGCAAGTTCAAAGCCATCCTCAGAAACTTAGCAAGGCCTTAAAAATAAAATTAAAAATAAAAAGCTGAAGTCCCTGTTAAAAATGTTTTCCTCCTCTTTTTATCGCATTATTTTATTTTGGAGTCAGCATTTTAGAAAACTTTTGGTTGTAAGCATTTTCTCATCTTTTTGCAAAACATATAAATCCTCCTGGAGAAAGGTCTTTAAGCAGCTTTATTACTCAGAAGTGTCTTTCTCAAAACCCAGGAGCCATTTCTTTATAATGTCATCATCCAGGAAGATTCCCCACTCCTAACCCCCCACCGCCCCACTTTGTCCTTGAGGGTTACAGTCTAACTTCAGCAGGCTGCCTGACTTCAAATTGTACTCTTAATTCCTTTAAAAATGATCATCTTTCCTTTGGACAAAGAAAATCAGTTAACACAATAGATCATCCCAATTTCTAGGTAAAGTTATGATAAACTATGCATGATGGAGAAAAATGACGAGCGCCCACTGCATGATATTATTTAAATGCAAGGGAGGAGATATTTCAGTTGTATTGGCAAGCCAACTAGAATTAGGAGCATGATGTTTAGCTAAGGGAACCATGCTTTCAGAGGCATACAGAATCTCTCTTAAATAACCATTGAGGCAGGCAGGGATTATTCTAAAGAAGAGCCAAATAAAACAAAACATCAGGAACAGAAGAGTTGCCTAAAATACACATAAAGGGCTATCATATGGAGAAATTAGATTTACTCCAATACCCCATTCTTTCAATCTTACCTGTTTCTTCGGTATAACTTTTAATACAACCTGGTATTGCTTCTTAGGTTGTTCTTCCTATGTCAACTCAGCTCTCCTGCTGTCATCATTTAAGTGTTCCTTCTGAAGTTCTTCTTTAAAAACTTAGTTTTAGATTCTAATCTGATCTGAGGGTCATGTTAGGCAATCTTTCCAAAATGCAATATATGACTAAAATGCTTTGGGAATTCAGGTTGGATGCAAAAGTAAAAATTTCCAATCAAACCTCAGTTCAGAGACTATACATTCTGAAGACAAACATGGCAATCAGAAGTAAGAAAAATTGATTTGTAAGGCTAAAGAGAAATTATGTTATACACAGTTCTACCTATAGTAGTTCTTAAAACTATGGTCTTGAGATTGCCAGGAGGATTTGTTAAAACAGATTTCTGGACTCCACCTCTATAGAGAAGCCTTAACTTGAATTTCTAACAAGCTTCAGGTGATGCTAATGCAGCTGATGTGTGGACTACACGTCCAGACAGCACAGCTATAAAATACAATGTAAAGAATGCTATTTTCTAGTCTAATTAGGATTATCTGGCTGGGCCTGGTGGCACACACCTGTAATCCCACCAACTCTGGAGGCTGAAACAGGAGGATCACTAGTTCTAGGACAGCCTCAGCAACTTAGCAAGTCCCTGTCTCCAAAAAAAAAAAAAAATCTGGTGTCAATGTCCTAGAGACTGAATCCAATTCATTGTTCTACTACTTCTGTGTGATTGTTGGCATACTCATGTACCACCTATTTACAATTTCTATTTCAAAGTGTCTTTTTATTTGAATATTATAAAACTTTATATATTACAAACATAAAAACCAGGACTATTTGTCAAACGTGATTTGTTTTCAAAGGAAATACAGTTTAAAATAATTACAAAATTCTTGCTATTATTCTTTTCTTAAGTATTTTTAAAGTTGTAGATAGACACAATACCTTTGTTCTATTTATTTTTATGTGATGCTGAGGATCGAACCCAGTGCCTCAAACATGGTAGGCAAGCGCTCTACCACTGAGCTGTAATTTGTAACCCCAGGCCCTTGCTAATATTATTTCTGAAGTTCTGTTAAGGGAGATCAAAAGATGATAGCACAAAATTAAGACATTTCTCTTGATCAGAAGGCTCCAAAATGGACTGAATGAAACTCATTTACTATATGATTCAAATGTTGTTTAGTGTTATATCTGTGTACTTCTTAACCCCATTCACTATTAGCTGTACTTGTACTACATTTTGGGAAATGTGATTAAAGTGAAATGCCCTCTTTTCTTCTCCAGCTTTTATTCCACTGATTAATTATTCATTAAAGAGTTATTTAGAAAGGGGCCACTGTATGTGCCTGACCCTGTTCTGTATTGACTGGCCTTGAGCATACTGTCTCACCTTCTCCCAAAGCATCACTATATTTTTAAATATGGATCATCATGAAAATCAGTTGCGGAGATTCTAACAATTCTATGAAAGGATGCAAGTTCATTGCAGATTCACTCTGATCCTTGACACCATCTTCTTATTAATCAATATGTTGTTATTCATGTAGAGTTTGAAGAGCTGATGATGGATGACTATATCTGTGTCCTTCACACAGTGATCCATGGGAGAAAGTGTGCGGTAAGCACATAGCCGTAGCAGAGAGTTGATGAGGTTTTAGATCTTTGAAGAAAATGGAAAATGCAGGGCAAAGCTCATTTTATCAACTCACATATACTACCCCCAAATCAACATAAGTCAGTTTGAGGCCATCAATATAAAAAAAATTTTAAAAAGAATATATAGAGAAGAAAGGGAAAGCCTCCAAAAGAAATTTTTTTTCTTCTACTTAATGTTTCCCAAATTAAACCTTTACATTATCACTTTTTAGAGTTACTAGGTAGCTGTGCGGTTAATTAACTAATTAGTTTTCATTTTTCCCTATCAACTTCCATACTTCTCAAAGGCACATAAGGAGACAGCAAAGGTTAATGAAATACTACAGGAGATTGAAAGAGTTATTTTAAATAAAAAAATTTTTAATTGCCTTAATGCCATCAAATTTCTTTTATTCGTTTTTCTTCCAGTTAATTTCTTTTATTTATTTTTTTTCAAGTTATGGGTCTGGGGTTTCTTGAAAATTTGTACTTTCAAATTTATCTTGTATCTTACTTTTTACTGATTTTGTTAGATGTTTTTCAGGAAAAGGCTACTATTCCTTGTAGGTTTTCATTTAGTGATATAGCCCATTATTAAAAAAACGTTCACATTGTACCTTTACTGATTGGGCTACAGTTGGGGTGAAGAAGAAAAAAGAAAAAAAGCAGTCTGAATACTGTGCAGCAATTAAATAGTTAGATCTATATTTGATCTGGACAGTTATACATGCTGTTCTACTAAATGCAAAAAGTAGGCTGCAGGATGATGTTTAAAGATAATAATATTAAGAAATGACCTTCTCTCAAATTAGCATATACTTTGTTATGAGCAAGAAGAGGTGCATGAGAATACACATCAGGCTGCTAACCTTAGTGAACTTGGTTGTTATTGACAGTGGGTAGGGCTAAGGTTAAAAGTTGGGGCAGGGGGGTGAGGTTGTAGCTCAGCGGTAGAGCACTTGCTTAGCATGTGTGAGGCTCTGGATTCGATTCTCAGCACCGCGTATAAAATAAAATAAATAAAATAAAGGCCCCCCCCAAAAAAAATTTTAAAAAGTCGGGGCAGATAATGCTATTAAGAGTATTCCTTGAAATAATCCTGTTTTATAGGAAAAATGTAACCTGGAACATGGAGTTTAGAATGAATGATTTTTTAGAGAGAATCTGAATCTGGGAAGACAGAGTAGGAATGCTTTGCTATTTCTGGTTTGTCTATAGAGGGTCTACACTTCATAAAGATCAAATCTTAGATGAGTAATAAATAATCCACAGAGAAAATGAGTGTGCAAATGGCTTCTATCAGAAACACACGATACTTTAAGACAACTTTTAAGTACAAGAACATTATTACACTAAACATAGTTCTAATTAATGAAAGAGACATGTAAAATTGAAACATGTAGCAAAAATGCAGACTTTTTACTTATGATAACTTAAAAAAATACTGCAATATCATGGAAGGAGATAACATTTGCCCTCCAAAAAAAAAATCTTCAGTAAAGCTTGTAATACTCATATGGATTTTGTAAAAACAATGTCAATGTAACAGAGATATAAATAATCTTCTATAAACTGACTTTTCTTCTTGAAAAAGACTTACTTATAAACTTTTATTTTGAGGGAAATTTGAAGATGGTAGTCTGGAAACCACTAGTATTTCTGGGTAGGGTTGAAGACCCATTTGTTTGTTATCTTTCAACTTTTGTACTATAACTTTAGCAAATTCTTCTCCTTGGATGTCACTGGTGTCCAATAATTGTCTAACTTTTGAAGTCCTTGTAGGTTTGGTACTAATAAGTTCATAGTCCTCCTTCATGATCAAGTCCCTGGACAGGAGGGCATCTAGTGATTGGTTAAGGCAGGCTTCAGTCATTTGGTTCACAATGTCTTCCCTTTTGCTCTGGATCCACTGTTGGGCTATACCAGGTTGTAGACGCTCTGTAAAGGTAAGGGATGAACAATTAAAAAGGTGAGGATGGATATTTAGCAATGACTAAAATTACTAAAAAAAAAAAAGTAGGCATAAAACCTAATTTTTGTATGATTGTGCTAATGTGGGACACCGTATATTTTTTCAGGAAACATGGAGATCTGGATTATCTTTCCTTCACCTTTCAGAAAAAGCACTACCCTTTTATATGCCACAAATCATGGGGAAAATATTCCTTTATTCTTCGGGTTTTGTTTTTTGATTTCTTTCAAATATACAGGATATATGAATATTTGTTAAATTAAAAAATAGCTTTACCTTTAGTGACATAGTAAGTAATACCTCCTGTTAGCACTTCCTTCTTAATTAGATGTTCATGGGATACTATGTCAGCAGAGTTTGAAAGTGTTTTCCTACTTAAGAGGGTATGTATTTATTTATCTTACTGAGGAAACACAACAAACATATCTTGTCCAGTGCATCTGCTGGATATATACTTATGAGGTAAGATGGCATCATTTACAATATGTCTCATGGTAAACATTTACCTGAATACCTCTCAGTTAAGAATGAATTTATTATTGTTGAAGAGCAAGGGGTGGTCTTGTGATCACAGAATACAGCCCTCTGAGATGCAGCAACAGTACTATCCCAACTGTGATTTACTGACTGATGTAGATTCATAGAAGAGTAGTCTGGAGTTTTTCCTATAAAACACAAGATCTTCATTAGGGCTGAAATATTCCTTAGATATTCCTATTAGCTAAAATATCAACATTCTGGTTGCATAGAAGGTAGGCCCCAATCTCTTAGGTTTTCACTGCTATTAAAGTTGCCTCAGGGGCTGGGGTTGTGGCTCTTGCCTCACTGGGTTCGATTCTCAGCACCACACAAAAATAAACAAACAAAATGAAGATGTTATGTTCATCATCTATAACTAACTAAATAAATAAAGTTGCCTCAGAAAACTAATTCTGCAAATAAACAGGTTTTAGATCAAATAAGGGTATATACCATATGTTCTTACTATACTTCTGTCTGTGCTTGTCTATTCTATATTTATTATGAGCTGTGGAATTTCATTTCTTCTCATAGTCCCATATTTATTCTCTATCTTCTTTTCCTTCCACTTCACTTTAAACATGAGCTCTATACGTGTGTCAATATGTAGTTAATATTATACATTTTTAAATGTATCAATCTATATATGACATTTATCTTCCACCCTTTCCCAATTCTATCCAGCCTCACTCAGTCTCAATTGTCCATCTGTGTTCTCAGATCTGTGTAATTAAATTTTCTGTCATTGTTGAATATGGTTTTACATTTTCAACAGCCCACTGGACATCACCTCCATATGTAATGCTAGAACCTCAAATTAAAAAAAAAAAAAAGTTAAAAATTTCCATCATCATTCACTAAGACCTGCTTCAACTCTTATTTTTGTGAGTAGCATTAATATTCACCCAGGGACCAGGTTTAACAACTTGTTTATCTTTATCTTTTTTTTTTCTTTCTTAACTTCTTCAAGTGAAAAGTTACAACTCCTATCAGTGAGGCCTCCATAATAATTCTCACACCATCTCTGCTTGTTTTCACTCTGGATCAGTTTTCATAATCACTTACCAGTACTTTGGTAAAAGTCTCCTACATTGAAGAATTTTATCATAACACATTCCTGCTCAAAAATTTTCCAACATTACTCCCTCCTCAATTCAACATACCAAGGAGCTGAGTTGAGTGTCAGAATTCTGGACGATATAACTCCCCTGCCTACTTATCTATCTTCTTTCGTTCACCCTCTTCATCAACCAAACCAAAGTACTCACTGTTGTCTGTCTTCTTGGTCTTGGGCCTCTGTGTTGTTCTTTTTGTCTGGAATGCTTCTGCTTTATAACTAGATGTCCAGGCCAGAAACGGTGTCATCATGATAACAATTTGGTGTATCGGAGTGACATAAAAGTCCTCCTTAAAGGACCTGACTTCAGTCCTGTCTTGGGTTTGCCTGCTACTAGCTCTGTGATCCAGAGGGTTCTTAATCTATAAAATGAAGACTACCTCCCTTTCAAAGCTGCTGTTGAAGTACTCTGTAAAGAGTGGTACTCTGTAAAGAGTGGTACTCTTGATGTTAGGTGCAGTGATGCACGTCTATAATATCAGTGATTTGGGAGGCTTAGGTAGAAGGATTGCAAGTTTCAGGGCTTGAGATGTGGCTCAATGGTAAGGTGCTCAGTGTTCAATCCCTAGTTACCAACCCCACATCTGTTTCTATTTCATACTGCGGTAACTTACAAACATTTCTCCTCTCTTGTTAAGAACTTTTTTTTTTTTAAGTATCTAACACAACACCTTTAATACTTAAATGTGTGTATTGAACATGCCACTGCTATCTTTACATCTTTAGACCTTGTCATTTAAGAAAATGAGTTATGAATACATATGAAAGTATATTCAATACAAACCATAACTCCCTGCCAAGAATATGACCTTGAAAGAAAATGGAAAACTTGAAATCAATTCTGATTGAAAAATTAATGTACCAGATAAAAAGTCGTTTTCTTGGGGAGTTGACAGGGACCTAGAGGTTCCAGGAGAACTACTGCTTTTATGAAGCTGAGAGGATCCACATGATTCCTAAAGTAAACAAATGATAAATAGGTTTAGGGAGACTACTCCTAATGGGTAATAAAAAATTTTTTTTTTTAAGTTATACAGCTTGAGTTTCTAACAGTTCTTGCTTTTGGTTTACAAAGATTCAGAACTATAAACAGATTGTAACTTAGAGAATTAAAGGAACATATATAAAATACTCAACAAATACAAACTTAATTTTCTTATCAAATGGAGGAGATGGGCAACAATTACTAGAAATATTTTTTTTCAGTATAATCTATATGATCTCAGAGGCTTTGTCCAGTGGCTTGAATAGTGGATAAGAAATTTGGAATCTGGGTTATCTACTGACTTACCCCAATGGCTTATTATTAGGTTCCTTCAATCAGAAGAAGTGGAAACCCTTGAAAACGTAATGGAGAAATTGACTCTATTCCTAGCTCTGTCATGGAATTACTGACTAATTTTTGACAAGGCATTTAACTCTCTGGCTCTCTGATTCTTTGAACTGTCTATCTCAAATATGCATGCATAGGCTCAAGGATCAAATGAGATGGTTTATATAAAGTGACTTAAAAAACCACATATTCTGCTTTAGGTTTTTTTGAAGGCATTATTACTTTCCTGAATCTGTGAAGTGAATATATATATTTTTGAAAAAACAACTCATGAAATAAATCTGGAAGAGTGCTCCAAAAGAAATCTTTCTTCTTGGTGAGGAAAAAAAAAAAAAAGACTTTCTCTCTTATTAATTATTATAAAAGGCAAGGACTAGGCGGCATAAATAATGTAGTAGAGTTACAATCAATGAGTTGCCCATATAACACACCCTAGATCATTATTAACTGTACAAAATGACAGGGACAGAAGTCAATGCCAAAGAAAAAAATTTTTATGATCTGATGGGATCAGTGATGAAAGAGAATCAGAGAAGCTGATTTCAAGTTTGCCCTGGGCTGCCAAATTCCAAAAGCTTCCAGAGCTTTAGTTCCCTATTGTTAAAAGAAGGGGTTAGACTTAGTGATTTTTCACTTTTGTGTGTGTGTGTGTGTGTGTATAAAATGTACATTTGCATGTGTGTGTGTGCATTTTTTTTTTTTTACCTCCTGGGGACCATGATTTACAGGTATGTTCAGAGACACCTCCTTCCTCTTGTCACATGAGTGAACAGTACTCGAGGCACTCTGTAACTGGAATGAACACATACACGCACTTTAGTTGGAAGCAATTAGGAAATTAGAAGTAAAATACAACCTACTTAACACATTTTTAAAAAATATTTATTTTTTAGTTTTTTTTTAGGTGGACACAATATCTTTATTTTATTTTTATGTGGTGCTGAGAATCGAACCCAGTGCCTCACACATGCTAAGCGAGCCTGCTACCTCTTGAGCCACATCCCCAGCCCATACTTAACACATTTTATATATGTATACAAAATCAATGGAAACAAACTCTAAATTGGTTGAGAACACAGTATATAACTTATAGGCAGAGGTAGTATAAAAAAATGGAAATATCCTTAGATAGAGAGACCTTGAATTATGTCTCATATTAATTGGTTGCCTTGAGCAGATTATTGATCGATCAGAGTTTCAGGGCTTCATTTTTAAAATAATACCTGCATGCAGGATTGTCCCTAAAAATTGAGATAATAAATATAAAGTGCCTGGTAAGAATTAGGTATTTGGGCTGGGATTGTAGCTCAGTGGTACAGCATTTGCCTTGCATGAGTGAGGCCCTGGGTTCGATCCTCAGCACCACATAAAAAAAAAAAAATAAATAAAAATAGCATGCCCATCTACAACTAAAAAAAAAATTATTACTTATTAAATTTTGGTGTGTGTGTGTGTGTAGCACACACATACACACATTTTCTATCAATGATTATTTAGCATTAACTGTTTCATGCACTGGGTTTGTACTATTATTTTTGTTTTATTGATAAGAAACTAAGGCTTGGACTTTAAGGAACTAATATGTTATAATGGAATGGTGGAGGCCAAGTAGCCAATCAGATGTGGTTCAGAATCCAAGAATGCCTAACTATTTGACCTGGAGCATGAGAATGTATCTCAATTTATCATATCTATAAATTATAGATAATAATATCTGTTTTATACAATTACTATAAGGAGAATTAAATGTAATATATGCAAACAGGACCTATGATTACTTGTAAAAAACAAAAAAGGCTCGGATGTAGCTCAGTGGTAAAGTACCCCTGTGTTCAATACTTAGTACTGCAAAAAACCAGTCAAACAACAGAAAAACAACCTATATGTCTGTTTTCTTCCTCAGACCAACATAATGCCAACTGCTTTTCAGAACTTTAAAAACTGCTGAGTTTTGCACCCAGCTCTCCATTATTCAGTTATGACTACCTGTTCTATTAGAAGTAAAAAATTCCTATTCAACTGTGTATACAACACATTAACTATAATATTTGGTACACAGAAGTTCAATAAACATCCATAAACTTGTTTTTAAAAAAATATTTCTTTTAGTTGTCGATGGACATTTATTAATTAATTAATTTATTTTTATGAGGTGCTGAGGATTGAACTCAGTGCCTCACACTTGCCAGGCAAGTACTCTACACTGAGCCACAACCTTATCCCCTGTAAATTCGTTTTTATATGAAACTTTAAAATTAGTTTTATTCTATGTGTCCATTGTGTAAGGTTTTCTGTAACTTGAACAAAACATTTCTTATAAATGTAACGGAATATGCATTAGTAACTGACCAGGTGATAATTCAAATTGCCTATCAAGCAGTAAAATCAGTCCCTAAGAAATGAAATAAATTTTTTTATTCAAGTTTTACTATTCAAGATGTAGGAAGCATTTATCTGTGAAAACATGAATTACAAGAGCTGGTTCAAAAAATTGGAAAAAAAATGTAGGAAATGCAAACAAAATAAGTCACTCTCGATAGTGATCTTCATTTTCAGAAATTTCTTTATGAAAAATCTTATTATATTTGTATTCTGTGGTTGGCCCTGCCATTAACTAGCTATGTGAGGTGTTATTTAAGTGACAACTTCTCTATACCTTAGATATCTAATCTGTAAAAATCAGATGATATTTTCGCTTTAGCAGCTTCACAGAATGATACAAGGGTTTAAAGAGAAAACCAAACCAAACCAAAACACCCCAAACTATAACAACTCTAAGTGAAAGCAATACTGCAACTTAAAAACACTGAAGAAAGCAATGCTATTACTAAATGGTATTAATGTACCTGAAAATATATACTTTACTTTAAAGGCCAAAATTTCTTTAAAACTTAATGTTATATATAGAATGCTAGTGCTAGAAACAAAAATGATCTGGAATGGTTCTCGTAACTGTCACGAGCCGTCCAACGGCTGTGTGTGGACTCTTGTGCATAGTAGCTTAATGAGGGGACAGGTCTGGCATTGCTAACTCCCTGTAGCACCCCTCAGGGACTGATCGACTGATGCAGGTGAGCCTCCCCCTCAAGCTCTGCCCAAGATCCCACAGGGCACCTGAGATGGGTGTGACCTGCCAAGATGTCAATAAATCTGCTGACCACAAGACATCAGGAAAGTAAGACTTCATCCTTGAAACTACCCCTGCCTTTGACGTACTCCCTTAAATAAAATACTGGAGCCATTTTGTCTTTGTCTAGTTCAAGAACCCATGTGGACTAGATTTATTAAGGGCTTCACTTTTGTAAATATATATTCTGAGTGTTTGTGTTTTATTATTTGTTAATTATTTGAGATAATAAGATTTAGGTGGCCATTTATGGTGGCTTGGATTCCTCTGGGCAGAAGAATCCCCCAGTGAGACACTGGCCATCATCCTCTTGAAACTTCCCCTTCATAACTAAGACAATAGGCCCTTTCATCCAGCTTTGTTTGGAAGGACAAGAAAAAATTGTAAGGAGAAAAAAAGGAACTGAAATAATTAGGCAGAAAGAGATATTTTCTGAGGTTTGTATCTATCAAATGGAGAAACTGGTATGCTCTGGAAAGGATTTCTCAGAAGTGAGGGAGTCAAGCCCTGCGCACGCCTGTAATCTCAGTGGCTCAGGAGGCTGAAGCAGAAGGATCCTGAGTTCAAAGCCAGCCTCAGCAAAAGCAAGATGCTAAGAAACTCAGTGAGACCCTGTTTCTAAATAAAAAAAAATTGGGCTGGGGATGTGGCTCAGGGGTGGCGTGCCCCTGAGTTCAATCCCTGGTACCCACCCCCAATCCCTGCATAAAAAAGAAGTGAGAGAGTTAGTGAAAAGTTTATCAAAAGATCTCAAAAAACAGTAGTTCCTTTTTAAGTTCCTGCCAAAACTCAGGCATGAATATTGCTACCACAACTTTTCAGTTGGATTAGTTGTTTCCTTTGTATTTCCTTTTAAACTAAACTAAAGGTTATGTTAAAAGATGTAGTGAATCACAAGGAGAAAGCAGTCTCATTTAGTAATAAAGTTAACTGCAGACTGTGCTTGTTCCATAACCTAAGAGTTTGGCTAACTGATGTCTTTTTTTTTTAGAGCGAGAGCGAGAGCGAAAGCGAGAGAGAGAGAGAGAGAGAGAGAGAGAGAGAGAG